AAAAAGATAAGAACCAAGAGACTCATGTAATGGTACAAGATCCCAATGATGAATGTAACTGTATTGTATACCTAAAATGTACCAATAAAGTTAATGGGGAAAAAAACAACACTTCTGTTTAGGCTGAAGGTGATAATCACTTATATTTCCTTGGACACTAGGTAAAACTTATTTGGCAAAAGGGATATTTGTGCCTAAGCCAAAATTTTAACAAGCATGAACTAGCATAATTATTAGCATAAATTGCTTTAATAAGATAGATCTATGGACTTTTCTTCCTGTAATTTTCTTATATTTTCTCATTTCTTCTTAATAAGTATATATAAAAATATATATACACATATATAAACTGATGAATGTGTCAAATTATCTTTGATGAGAAAAATCATAGCACCTTGTTTTCACCTTCTAATAATTAATTATCCTCCACAATCTCAGGAGCTGAATTGAAAGCTTAAAAGAAGAATGAGTGATGAAACACTAGAAGGAGAGAAGGAGCATGCTATTTGGGGAATTCTGCCTGTTGACAACAATTGATTATACTTATCAGTGCTTTCCCGGGGAAGTAGATGGCATGTAAACATATATGGGTATGTGTGTTAGAGAAGATGAAGGCTTCTAAGTGTTCTTTTCATACTGTCACTTTATATCCATCTCCCCAAGTTATCCACTTCTTAAGCTCAGCTGTGGCTACTGCAGAATATCCCAGCAAGAGGCAGTGAGTTCTGTATCCTTTTTCTACCAACCACTGAAGGGTTTATGCAACTCTTAGTTTTGAATCTTGATCTGAAGTAATGTTAAAAAGCAATGTATTCTGCACAGGACTAGCTCCACAGCTACATATTTTTATACTACATTAGTCACAACAGTAATTTCTATGGACCTTTTTTCAATATAAAATACAAATTCCCATAACTAGAAGGCAGAAGTTGAGTGAGGATATGAAAGCTGAGTTTCATACATAAGGAATCTGGGCTGCCACCATTGCATCATACAAACTGGAGATTTCAGAATCACTCTGGTATCCATGGCGACTCAGCTGGAATCCCAAGGCCCAGTATGGAATCATTGCTGGCCGACCAATCAACTAGAACATAAAAATGTTAATTACTCTGATTTTGTCATTATACATTGTACACATGTACCAAATCATCATACCATACTCCATAAATATGTGCAAATATTACACATTGTTTAAAACTTTTTAAGGAGTGAAGAAAATGGATCCAATAAACTTCTCGGGGAAGAAAAAGTGATTGGGTTATAATTGAAGCAACTGGAACATTTCTACTGAGGAGTATCTGATCTATGAGGCCCCACTCTAGAAAAGTAAGAAAGTCAAATAAATGAGAACAATAATGGAGATGCCGAATGATAGAAATGTTACTATTAAAGTTTCCCTGAATTCTACAGCCATCACTCTAGGAAACCCAAGGACTCGATGTGTTGTTACTAATTAGAGATTCTTAGATGAATGCTCCAGCAAGCAGTCAACAGACACATGGGTCACTAATATGCCTTTAGCATCTTGAAACGCTATAATTTGACTTTAAGAAATACATAATGGAGTAGGGACACTTCTGGCTAAAAAGGAAAACATTGGTGTATCTCATTGCTAAGAATATGGTTACAATACCCAAAAAATATTCAGTGATTTATTAATGGATAGAATGGCTTCCAACCTCAGTGTATTGCTGAGTTACAAGCTCAGGAGTTGGTCCCAAAACCATATAAAAGTCCAAAATCCCTCCTACAGTGCGGTATGTCAGGGCAGGAGTGGGCTGGAGTGTCACATCTGTAAAATTAAAAAACAGAAAGTAGATGAGAAAAATTCATGGAGATGTAAGTCACCCTACTAGGAAATCTGCCCTTGAATTTGCAGTTTTACTCTCATTCCTCAGTAACTGGCTCCTCTAATAAGCCATTTCTCACCCAGTGAAATCAGAGATGGATTTCCAGGTATTCTAAACACACTCTGCCATCTCAACAATTTATATCACTCTGTGAAAAGAAGCTACAGTGAGTGACCCAGCAAAATACAAGGCCATGGTTACTCAAAATTTTATACTTAATACATGATCCAGAGCACTTAATAAATTTGTAATAAATGGATGAATAAATGGAAGGTTGGCTTATTTATCTATTTTTCACCCTTGAATTTATTTCTAATGATATCCCAGATCCCAATAGAGTAGTCACAACTGTTGATGGCAGTGCATGGGGAATGCCCCTCTGTCCTACCCATGGCATTACTGTTCAGCAGGAGCACTCCATGGGCACTGCCGTCCTCTTCCAATGCCATGTAGTAGGGGTGGACACCATAGGAATTCCTCTTGTACTGGTAACAGAAAACCAAGGAGGTGATAACACAGTGAAACTCTTGTAAACTATTTTCACATCATTACCTAGACAGCAAACTCATACTTAACACTAAAGATGCAATTCAATGTCACATTCTTGGTTGAGCCTTCTTTGATCTTCCCTTCCACCCCAAGTGAAAGCTGCATCCTCTCCCTCTGTATTCCTTTTATTATTACATCATTCTATCAGAGCACCAGTTACAGTGTGCTGTTACTGTTTCCACACCTATCACCCTTAGTCTATAAGCCTCTGAAGAGCAAAGAAAGAATCTTATTAAATTTGAAGCTAGGCACTTAGCTATCTGCAGGACACATAATATATTAAATAAGAGTATATTTATAACTAAACATCTTTTATAGACAAAAGAGCATGATGTGTCCTCTTACAAGCGAGAGTGAAATTTATTAACACTAGGTAAAGCTGATGAACAGGGCATCATTTGTGGGCAAAAGAATATAAATTCACAATGGAGAAACTGATTACTAATTTTATTCCCATTCTTACCCCTGGTGGCTCATCACGGGCAAACATCCCCCACATATTCCAGCTCATGTTTCTTCTGAACGTCATGTGCTCAGTTTCCCCAAAGCCATAGATGTACTGAGAGGGGAGGCGAGTGGAAATGGAAAGGAGCATGTCGTTGAAGGTGAAGCCAGGGAGTTGAGAATCCCAACTACAACACAAAGAAGCACCCCACACTGAGCTAGCGATCACCAGCCAGGCAAACATAGAGTATATTTGGGGTGCCTGCCTTATTGAACATCTGGATGCAAGTTCAAACATGTGGAATGATGCTGGCCATAGCAAAAGCCATGACTCTGTACCAAGGCTCCACGCTTGCATTTTTATTTTGTGGTTTGCAGGACTGCAAGCTCCTTTCCTGGGCCATGAGCTTATTGTGAGCAAAGACTGTCTCATTCATCTCTTTACTTTTGGTTCTCTGTGCCCAGCATACCAGCTTGAACACATGTGAATAAATGAATGAGGTCTAAAATATGCTTTCAAATAGAAAAATGTAAAATTCTTAAAACAACTTCTCTAGATTGGTCAGAGTACTTGAAGAGGGTAATGGAGATAAAATTGGTTTCAGAAGCCATACACAGGAGGAAACACATGTACGCACACAAGTGACAACCTCTACTGGAATGGGGAACCTCTCCCAGGCAGCATCCAGACCTTCAACAGCAGAACAAGGGATGGGAGATGGTAACTGACCATTCTTCCCATCCTTAATGTTACAAAAACGGTTGAAGTCCACAGTATCAGTAGAAGCAAAGATTAGAAGAAGCCAATTTTTTTTTCTCCTTCCTAATCTCTATCTGTCCTGCTGTTCAGTTATTATTTCTCAGTGAAGCAGAATACAGAACAGACATATCTTGTGTTATCTGTTGTACTTAACTAAACAGAGTTTTCAAGAACAAATAGAACAAGAATAAATAGAACGTATTTTCTTTCTCTGAAGTCAAACAAGACTTAATTAGGCTTTTTAAACCTTTGATTAATTTTTGAGTTACTAACTAATACAAAATAAATTCCCTAATGAAGTAGGGGAAATTGACATATTATTCAACAAACACACATAATTACTTAGGGGTTATCTCTGAAATTAGTATTTTACTTGTATAATTACATTTCCACTCTAATTAAAACCATATAAGCCGTGCTTACATCACAGTCCCGGAGCTTTTGCGAAGAACCTGGATTCCAAAAGGAGTGGTCTGAATCCTGACATCATACAGGCAGTTCTTGAGGGAGTCAACTGGTGAGGGAGGTGTGTTCAGAGGTACTGGGACCTCATACCTTTTATTAGTGGAATCATAGATCTGCCAAAGAGATAGAAGGAAACTCTTTCTGATAGAGCATCAGACCCAAAACTTCTCACACCAGTCCCTATAATCAGTTCCTATTTTTTTGGACTAGTTTAAAGCACAACAGGAGGCATCAAAAATCCCTAAGTAAGTAGCTGTGAGGTCTGCCATCCTACTATGTCTGAACCAGATCCTAGACTTCAACAATGTCTCTGTAATACCCATTTGAAACCAGTGAGGGGCTGTCCTATGGAGAACTTGTAATTTAAGCCTGTAGAATCTTGTAGGTTGAATGTGTGTTTATGGATGTGTGCTATACAAACATATTATGTGCATGTAACTAAGAACATGAGTGTGAGCATGCATTTGTGTGTGTGTGTGTGTGTGTGTGTGTAAGGAACCAGAGAATTGAGCTTTCACATGGATGCTGAGCCATCTTTACTGTTTGAGCTTCCAGATGTCTAGCTTTCCTATTGCTGCACCTTCTCTTTTATATCCACAACTCATTCCACTTTCCCTACCAGGACTGGTCAGTAGAAAAAACAAGAAAAGTGAAATGTAACAAAATGACAGGGAGCATCCCCATCACTAGTGACCGTCCCCTTCTTTGTACCATTATTAGCCCACATTTTATGCTCTGGTGAAGTTTTGTCTAGAACTCTACTTTCCAAAACTACTTTTCTCAACTCAGAGTAACAGCATTGCCTGGGATCTTGTTAAAGATGCAGCTACTCAGCCCTTAACCTAGACCTTCATTTTCACAGGAAGGTGATTCACAATATAGTCAAGTGTGAAAACCAGTGCTGAGAGAAGACTGTCCAAGCCTGTGTCCACCAGCCCCACTTGGGTGCTAAGCACTAGACACGTGCTAGTCTAAATTGAGATTCATTGTAAGTGCAAAATACATACAAGAATATGAAAGATAGCAACATTAAAAAATTGTGGAATATCTCCATAATTAAACTTGGATTTCAAAGTGAAACAAAATTTATTGTAGCATATTGGTCAAATAAAATATTACTAAAATCAATTTCACCTTTTTTTCAAATACATTTAAAAAATACTCCTGCTAGGAAACTTATGTGGCTCACGATGTACAGTATTTCTAATAGGAAGAGCAAAGCAATGGATCTCAAAGTGTGGCCCCTGGATCTGCTGCATCAGTGTGGGCTGGCCATCAGTGGAAATGCAAATTCTCAGAGTAGCCCACCCCAGATCAACAGAATGGGTGAAGCCCATCAGTCTGGGTTTTAAGAAGATGCAAGTGATTCTGATGCATGTTAAAGTTTGAAAGCCAATGGTTTGGGGCTGTGTAGCTCAATGATAGAGCACTTGCCTAGCATGCAGGAGACCAGAGTTCAATACCCATAACAGAAGGGGTCACTTGGTTTGAAATCCACTATTATAGAATAGCTAGAAATGTTGGAAGTGAGCCAGTGCTTTTCTTATGTATTTACCAGGTAGGCTGATTCTTTAAAGAGTATTCACAATTATAGAAAATTCACAATCCTGATGGATCTAAGGTCACATCCACTAACATTCTGACCTTTACTCCTCTAGGCCTCAGCTTCTGCATATGCAAATGAAGGGATTTGAACTAAAAGTCTTTCATTGATTTCCATCTGTACAGAGCTGTAGCAGTGAGGTAGGAACTCCATTCTGAGAATCAGAGCCTGCAGTTTGGGAATTACCTTGACCTGCAGCATGTTCTCTGTGTGGTAGACCACACTCAGTTTGAGGGAACTGATCTCTACAGAAAGAGGACCAGAGACAACAGAGGCTGCTGCTGGTGACAGTGGAGCTGCTGCAACTTGTGCAGATGTCGGGGTCACTAGGAAGATCAGGTCAGTGGTGATGCCTGTGCGCAGGTACTGGATGTTACTGGCAGCATAGCGAGGGATGGTGTCATAGAAACAGACAGGCACACCAGGAGTAGTCGTGTGCTGGAACAACAGGAAAAATCTTTGATTAGCCTCTGACACTGAAGACGCTGCTTAACATAGACTCGGTCTTAGGCAGCTTTACTCATTGTTGTGAGTTGAATTATATTTCCCTCCCAAAGTCCTAAGCCCTAATATATAAATGTGACTCACTGGACATAGGATCATAGTAAATGATCATGTTAGGATGAGGGCATTATGATGGGCTCTAATGCAATATGACTGGTGACCTTGTTAGGAGAGGAAATTTGGACACAAAGACAATTACACACAGGAGAACACCATGTGATCATAAAGGTAGAGATCAGGGTGATGCAGGTACAAGCTAACACATACCAAACATTGCCAGCACACCTCCAGAAGGTAAGTGTAAATCATGGGAAAGAATCTTGCTCACAGCGCTCAGATGGAATCATTCCTGACATCTTGATCTTAGACTTCTAGATTCCAGAAGTGTAAAGAAATAAATTTGTATTGTTCTAAGCCATTCAGGTTGTGGGTACTTTGTTACAGCAGCCCTAGAAATCACACACACACACACACACACACACACACACACACACAAACTGGCCTCCTGTAATGAGTGAACAGTGACAGAGCAGCAGGCATTCTAACCTGGAGCCTGGAACCCTCCCTCAGGCAGGGTCCTGCTCTCAGAGTTCTTATTGCACCTGATCTGGTCTCAAGAGAATCACTACATTTTCCTGGCTTCCATTCTCTATATTGCTCAAACAGAGAGGACCAGCCTTATCTCATCTCCCCTGTTTGGGCTCTCCAATAAATAAATGAAAAACAAATTCACTTAAAATACTCAACACACAGTGCATACCCAATGTGTGCTATTATGTCTAATAGGATTTGGAATGATATGGCTGGAGAGAGACACAAGTTTCTTCTGACTCAGAATATCTGACAGAAATACTGATCACCCATCATGCAGAGTTGACAAGATGCACATTTGCAAGCTGTTGTGAAGCATCAGCCTGCAAAAAGTGTTTTCTAGGTTCCTAGGTACTTATGAGGCAACTTTAATAACACAATATGGTTACTGTTCCTGATCATTACCTCCCAAAGGCACCCCCACTGCCTACAGCTCTCCTCAGAAGCAAAAGAATCCTCTGGGTAGCAGCTGAACTTCTCTAGGTCACTGACTGGAAGCTTCCATTCAATAGAGAATTCTTGCCCCAGAAACAGTCCCTTGAGATCACTGATGGTCACCATCTAGGGAAAAAGAAAGGAGATGCTGGTGACAAATTAGTTAAAGATAAAGCCCTCTCCTGATGATCTGGATGCTAAGAATATGGGACCTAGTTCTTCCTCCAATACCACTTTGAAATATTTGGAACTAATCTGTTCCTTACCTTTGCACTTCATGGAGTCATTGTGAATGTAAGGAATGAGAAGTGCTTGCACCGTGGTAAGGAGTGCAGATCATAGATACAGCTGTCATTTTTAGACTTGTTCTTTTGGTGTGATACTTATTCATTTGAATAGTGATGGGAATCATAGCAACAGCCAAACTTTACTAAGCATTCATATGAGCCAAGTACTGTGATAAGCACTCTATAACCATTGTCTCCAGTAATCCTGTAACGCGACCTCATGCTGTGAATACTATAGCTGACTCCATGTTACAATCAGAAAACTGAGGTCCAGAAAGATTTAATACCTCACCCAAGATCTCACAAGGGGAGACAGTACAGCTAGGCCTAGAACCTTATTCTGCCTAATCCTAGAAATCTTATCTGCACTATATTTATTTTCAAAGTGAAAAATGGAAAAACTAAACTTCCCAGCATCTGAATAATCAACTAATAATCATAATCTTCTGTCTAAATAACTCAGTAAGACCCAAAACAAGATTACCCCTTGTGTTTTCTCTCATTATCTTTTTCTGTAATGTTATAAAAATAGTTTAAATACTAAGAAAAAAATATCAACTGTGTCTTAGAGTCTTTAACTTCAATGTAGGAACAGATGTGTATGTTACGGTTCAGACTGAAAATATTCCCCAAGTATCACATGCAAAGAGGTGGGGCTTTGGGATGGTGACTTCATTATGGGTGTGCTAATAGTCATCAACAGATTACTTTATCTATTCATAGATTCTGTTCATAGGATGTGCTGTTAGGAGGTGGGGCCTGGTTGGGGGGGGCACTGAAACCGTGACTTTGGAGGCTCTATTTCTTGCTCTGACTCTTGCTATCTCTCTGCTCCTTGGCTGCCATGATTTGAGGAGCTTCCCTCTGCCAGGCCCTTCCACTATGTAACTTCTGCATTAAATCTTTCTAACCATGGACTGACCCCTCTGAAACTATTAGCCAAACAAACCTCTCCTTCTTTAAGTTGTAATGTCAAGTATTTTGTCCCAGTAAAAGAATGGTTACTGATACAGTGTAAATATTCTCCATAACTAGCCCAATATATGGACCAGTGTTTTCTCTGTGTTATTCTGGGATCATCCTGTGTATTTTTAAATTGGTAGAAAACACTGTCTCTTCTCTTAAGATCCCAACTCTATCTTCTTCAGAATCCTAATGCACACAAGTTGAGGGGACCATATTTGCATACACAGGTTGCCTTGCCACCTCCCTGTGATATGGTGGCTCTACTAACAAGCTAGTTATCCCTGTGTCTGCCTGAAGTCAAAAGAATGAGGAAGGCCCCCTGTTAGAACCTCAAGCCAGGGCTTCCTGCAAGGGCTCTACATGATGAAAGAATCCCTCACCTGTACTGAAGCATTATAGACAATGCTCGAAATGGGGGTGGGAGCATTGTTAGATAAGATAATAAAGTTAGTTGGCTCCTTGTCCATTCCCAAGATTCTGATATCTGTAAACATGAGGTTGTTGGGGTCCATGTAATTATTGTGTGTAATCCTTGCCTGTAGATGGTTCTAAAAAAAAAGGGAAGGAAGTCAGTTTAGAGATCAGGCATAACACATACAATGTCTTTCTTTCAGTGATCTGAAGGTTTTCCTTTTTCTCCGTGGTTCTAAATGTTGCCAGGTGGTTGTCAGGGAAAACAGTGACTCAGGCTCTTGACATCCTAAAGCTGTTAGTAATATTTCATGTTTGTCTTGGTTCACTGGTTCTTTACTGTATTCTATTACTCAGGTAGTATGATGCTGATGTTAGAAGAGTTTCAAACAGATTTAATGGGTATTTAGAAAGCAAACAGAAATACACTCAGTGACACACAACACACAAAGATAAAAACTGACATGTACAATGTGTCATCACAAAATACAATTAATATTTGCATTTTTAAAAATAATTCAAGGGCCAGGGATGTAGCTCAGTGGCACCATGCCTGCTTGGCAACCACAAGGTCCTGAGTTCAATCCCTGATACTAAAAAAAAAAAAAAAAGAACGCTAAAAATAATTCAAAAGGACACAATGCTATTAATTCCCCTCAAATATTTCTCATTTCAAAAACATTTGTCCCATTTTTCTAGCCATTTATTGAAGCAGTTCTGGAAATCCTCTTTCATTAGTGTCATTAGTTGTGCTGTCATGGTTGCCTTGATGTCCTGAATCAATTTCAAAACATTTTAAGGTCATTTTGACTTTGGGGAAAAGTCACACAGTGGAAGTTCCCTTGAATAAGGTGTATGAGGATACACTGTAATGTTTTTATTTGAAGAAGAAGTTGCTGTATATGTTTTGAATCAATTCGGGATATACAGCTAGCTAAAAAGACACTCAGGAAACAGGACTTTCAGAACTGCTTCAGAAAATGGCAAAACCATGGGATAAGTATATTCAAAGCAAGGGAAAGTATTTTGAGGAAGATCAATGGCAATATGTATTTTACTGTATTAAATTTTTAAATTTAAACATTCACCATATTTTGATAACATCTCAGACACAAAGTCCTCAAATAACTTTTCTTTTACTTTATTAGTAAAGATAAGAGCTAAAATTTATGAATGCCCACTGTGTTCCAGGCACTGTGCTAAGTATTTTCCAGGTATTATCTCATTCAAATCTCCCAGTAGACTGTGAGGTTAAAACATAATTATCCCCAATTTTCAGATGAAAATTCTGAAGTACAGAGAAGTTAAAATGATTTATTTAAGGAACCAGAATTCAAACGGGATAAAGCTAAGCTAAGCAAAGATGAAGGTAGATGTGAACACTCAAGAAAAAAGGGACTCTTCAATGATTACAAAGGCTAGCACTCCCACACAAATATGCCCCAAAAAACACTTGGCAGAGGCGCCAAAGTAATACATTGAAGAAAGAGGAATAATTTCAACAAAGGGTGCTAAAGCAAAGGCTGTGCATAAGCAAAAAGTAGCACCTCAACCTAAATCTCACATCTTACATATAAATCAACTCAAAATAATCACAGAATTAAATGGAAAAGGGAAAAGTTAGATACTTTTAGAAATAGAAAATATTAAGGCTCCAGAACCAGGCAAAGAGTTCTTAGATATGAAACCAAAAAGCATTATGTATAAAATATAATAGTGATAAATTATACCTATTAAGATTTATTGATCTTGTGAAAGACACTGGTAAGAGAATGAAAACAGAAGCCTAGAAACAGAAAAAAATTTTTCAAACCACATATTCAATGGAGTACTAGTATTGAAAATGTATAAGAACTTTCAAAACTGAACAGTTAAGATGAAAAGAAACCAAATAATTCAACTAGAAAATGGTAAAATAGTTGAATAGATAAAACAAATGCAAGTGGTAAATAGCCCATGCAAAGATTTCTAACATCATCAGACACTGAAGAAACATAAACTATTGCCACAATGAAATATCATCACACACTTATCAGACTGGGTACGATGAAAAGTAGTGACGACACCTAATGCTGGAGCTGGAACAGAGAAACTAGATCATCCATATATTGCATGTGGAAATGTGAGACAGTATAGCCATTCCGGAAAATAGTTTATGAGTTTCTAATAAAACTAAACGTGCACTAACGTAAGCCCACCAACTGAACACTTGGGCATTTATACCAGAGAAGTGAAAACTTATGTTCATACCAAAATCTGTACGTGAGTTTTCATAACATTTTAATTTTAATTAGAATAGCCCTTGACTGGAAAGAACCCAAATTCCCTTGATCAAATGAATGCTAAACAGAAGGTGATATACATATACCTTGGAATGCTTTTTTAAAAATAAAAAGGAACAAAATACAACAACTTGGTAGAATTTTGAGGGAATTATGCTGAATAAAAAGGTTTTACATGCTATGTGATTCCATTTATATAAGCACTCTTGGAAAGACAGAATTACAAAGGAGGAAAACAGTCTAGTGGTTGCCAGGGGCTAAGAAAAAGGCTGAGACAGGAGGCAGGCTGGTACAAGTACAACAGGATATTTGTGGTGATGGAGATTTTCTTTATCTTCATAAATCTGATGCCAATATCCTGGCTGTGAAATTGTACTTCATTCCTATAAATTGTTATCATTAGGAGAATCTGTATAAAGGCCACATGGGAACTCCTCACTATTTGTTACAACAGCATGGGGATGCTTACTTACTTCCCAATTACAAGTTTAAAAAAAGAATTTATGAGAAAGAAAATAGAAATAAGGGATAGCAATCCCTACACAATAAATCCCTTCCCATACATGACCAGATTTCTAAGAAAAGCAAATTAGAATTCTCCCATTTTCTGCTAGTCTGGCACCTTTGTTCTTGGTCCCTTGGAAGATAGAAATGCAGTAGATGATGTTCTGTATCCTCCAGCTTTTCAAAGCTACCATGGATACTTGGGCCCAAAGACAAGTTCTAGGGACTAGAAAGGAAAAATGAACCTCAAAAAAGTGTTTCATGGCCTCATCAGCTTTTGTTATTATTTGAATTATTGATGACTGTCATTCTTTCTGGAGTAAGATGGAATCTTAGTGTTGTTTTAATTTGTATTTCTTTTGTTGGTAGAAATGTAAACTTGTACAACAACTATGGATTCAGTATAGCGATTCCTCAACAAACTAAAAATAGAAATTTCATTCAACCCAGGTATTCCTCTTCTAGATATCTTCCTGGAAGAGTTAAAGGCACCATATTACAGTGATATATGCATACCCATGTTTATAGCAGCACAATTTATAATAGCTAAATCTTGGAAGCAGCATATATGTCCATCAACAGATGAATGGATAAAGAAAATGTGGTGTCTATACAAAATGGAACACTACTCAGCTATAAAGATTTATACACAATGGGGTACTACTCTGCTATAAAGAAGGATAAATTTGTAGGAAAGTAGATGCACCTTGAAACCATAATGCTGAGTGAAATAAATCAGACACACGAGCTTAGATATCATGTGTTTTCTCTTACATGAGAAATCCAAAGTATAAATAGATAAAAGAGCAAAATAAAAGCTAAATGAAAGAAAATAGGGAGATAGATCTTTCACAAATGGGAAAGGGGCGAAGAGATGGATGGGAGAAACAGAGGACATAAAAAGAATTAAGATGTGTCATGTACATGTACTAACTATCCACAATGAATATAATCATTATGTACCACAAACATGTACTAATAAAAAAGAGAAAAAGGATACTTCACTCCTCGCCCACACTTACACCCCATACTTGCACTCCTCAGTGACATATTCTGAAAGTCAAAACTCATGACATAAAGTTCAAAGGCAGTGATTTTTTTTCCAGGGGACAAAAACAATTTAACCACAGAACTCATGCATCTGATACTGGTTAAGCACTGTCATGTTAACATGAGGAATCCTCGCGGGGACCGTCAGAATCAAGCACTGTCCTCATCTCACATGAGCACACATCTATACAAGAACAAAAACTCAAAAAGCAGTCACGGTAAATACTGTAAGATGTATGTTCCTTGAAAACAGTGCTTACAGAGGAAATAGAGAAATCATACAGAATATACTTCTTTTCAGCTACAGCATCTGAAAGAGAAAGATGTGTGTATCCATTAGTACAGGGAGCTGAGGATGTAGGGAGTCACCCTCCTCCTGTAGAGCACCTTTGCATCTAATTCTGCTCATCCAAGACCTGCCCATTTTTATCAACCTGACAAAATTTCCATGGAGTACTTTCTGCAAACACTCATGGATCCTTATATTACCATTTTTTATGGCATTTTAAACATTTTGACTTGCACTATAGCTATCTACAGGCAGATTATAGCTTCTGTACTAGACCATAGATGGGTTCCTCAAAAGCATCATTTATGCCACTTTCATCTCTATATCCCTTGTACAAATTTAATCGTAAATACCAAATAAACATTAATAAATTCTAATTCTTTTTCATTTTATTTATTTTATTAGTACATGTTCACAGTACATGTTTACATTCCTTGTGTGAAGTTGGAACATGTTCATAACACATCTTAATTCCTTTTCACCTCCTTTCCCTCCTCTTCCTCCCCTCCATCTCTTGATCACCTTACCATTTGAGAAAGACCTATCTCTCTACTTTCTATTATCTATCTCTTATTTTGCTCATTATCTAATTCTATCCAGAGCAGGATTTTTATATAATGACAAACTATAAGCTTATATAAGGTTTTCATACGAAATCACTACAGTGAAACAAAACACACTACACAAACTCCTTCTACCTAAATTGTCTCTGAAGTGGTACTTTTATAAAGCTATTAACAAAATGCATTGCTTCATCTTAATAATTATATCCAGAGGAGAGAATAAGAAAGCTGAATGCAGTAATGGCTGTTGGATTCGGTAGTGTCGATAACACATAAGTTGCACATTTAAAGTCTATTTTAAGTCTTTGCACTTGGCTTAAGAAACTTTCAGAATAACTTTTGACTCACTGATTTTTAGTTACAGAAATAGATGATGTGATAACAGAGATAGTGCCTCACTGGCAGCCACAGCCCCATGAGGAAGTGTACCTTTAGCTACACCATCATCCCAGTACAGCTCTCCCTTTGCCTCTCTCTTATAGTCCAAGGCAACAATTAGTCCCAGAGAATTCTTCCGGCTGAGGAGAGAAATTCTCAGTTTCAGAGAATTAAGGAACAAGTGGAAGTATGCAAAATCAGCCCTCTTGATATCCCATGGACTGGTCCTGCCAGAATCTAGCTCAGAGACTAAATAGATGGCAACATTGTGTGGAAATACAAGAGCTGGTTATAGACAGAGAGCAGAGTTTAGCACAGAGAGAATAAGGAGAATGGTAGAGAGAGGCAGTTCCTGCTGAAATCTGGGTGTGATTATTGTAATGAATATTTTATTGGGTGCTTACCATATACTAGATACTCCTCTAAGTATACTACATGCTACATACATGCATACATACATGTTATTATTTATATTCATTCATTTAACCCTCATAATAATGCTTTAAAGTCATATTAGCATCCTCCCTAGTTTACTAATACTAGGAGAAGCATAGAAAAGTAAGTTGGCCACAGTTAACCTGTCTGGTATGATGTAAACCTGGGGCTTAAACTCCAACTGTCTCCAGAAGCTGAGCTCTTCAACTCCAAGCTACACTGGTTTTCACATATAATTGTTATCTCTCATTTACTTTGCATTCTCTCATGCACTAGGGAACATACCTACGGATGATTACTCTAGTCCTATAATCTAATTTAATTCAAATGTGAAGAACTATGGAAATGTAAAGGGACTGCTGCTACATTTATCTCTGCCAACAAGGACTCAGATGTCAACTTTGAACCAATTTTGAAAGGAGAAGATTGCAGAGTGGTGGTTTTTCCCTTGGCCCATTTAGTCTTGGTCCCACTTGCCTCCTCCATAATGCCCTGCACAGTACAGCACCAGAGTTAAAATAAACAGGAGCTTACCTGGTCTCTGTGGTTGTGTTTGGTTGCTGGGTAGGGAATATGTAGCCCCCTCGAAGGTGGAGTCCTATCCTGTCACCAGGGAGAAGCATATCCACAAACTGTTTCCTCCATTGGACAGCCATTCCCTAATTGTCAAAAGGGATTCAGAGCACATAATTGACTGTGAGGGCTTGGAAGTCCCTAGAAATCATCTAGTTCATCTGCCTCATCTTAAAGAACAGGAGACTGAAGATCTCCAAGTGAAGTTACTTCCTCAAGGTGCACAGGTGGTAGAGGGCAGAGCTGAAACTCCAATCACCCTCTTTCTTTTCCTTATACCACGCTCTGTGATAGTGTTTAGATCTTCAGTGTCCCCTGAAGGCCTGTGTGTTAATGGCTTGGTCCCCATCTTCATGCTCTTGGGAGGTGGTGGAAACCTTAAGAGGTGGGGCCTAATGGGAAGCTTTAGGTCATTGGGTGTGAGCCCTCCATGGGGACTGTGGGACCCTGGGCTCTCCTTTCTCTTTTCTCCCTCCTGGCAATGAGGTGAGTGATTTTGCTCCACCATACGCTCCCACCATGATGTGCCCCCTTAGGCCCAAAGCAATGAGGCCAGTCCATCAAGGACTGGAACCTCCCAAATGGCGAGGCCAAATAAACCTTTTCTCTTTATAAATTGATCAGGTATTTGCTGTAGTAACAGAAATCTGACTAACACACTATTTCCACAACTGACCTTGAATTCTCTGTTTTCATAAAGGCCAATAACTAGTGCTATTAGCTAAACAGTAACCAGGTAGGTATAGTAAATTTCCACAAACTTACTACAGATATTAAGTCATTTCATTGTTATTTGGAAAGGTCTTCTGCTATGGTCTATATGTTAATGTCTCCCTAAAATTCATGTGTTAGAACCTAATACCCAGCTGTGATGATATTACAAGATGGGGTCTTTGGATAATTTATTAATTCATGAAGGTTCAGAAAGAAGCTGCAATTGATGAAGAAAAGTGAGCCTTACCAGACCCTGAATTTTCCATTGTCTTGACCTTGGACTTTCCAACTTCCAGAACTATTAGCAGTAAACTTCTGTGGTTTACCAATTACTGTGTAAGGTATTTTGTTATAGTCTTCCAATATACTAAGACAGCTCACAGGAAAGTACCCACAATTAACTACATGTAAAACTTTGTAATATTATCCCATCCTAGGTTCCCAAAGCTGGTTTATAATTGCCCTCTGCTAGAGACAGATTCCTGAGAGAGCTGGGGCCACTTCACTTACTGTCTCATAGTCATACCAGATGGCATCTGGTATGTATGCTTTCACACGGTCCACACCCTGAGGAGACAAAGCCAATATGTACATATTAGCATCCCCCTTTGCAGTGTATAGAATACCTTCACTGTGCATGGTCATCTGAACAATTCCAAGGCAGACCTGAAGTCATCCAATTCTACTCATGAAAATACAGACATTTAGAGAGGTTGAGAAATTTTTCAAAGCAAAGCTATACATGGATATTAAGTTTATTTTGCTTTAATACTCCTAAAATTTCTAGGAGAAACACAGAGAGTTAATTTACTGGATCATGCAGGCTGACAGTTGGGAGACTGAGCCAGGTAGACCCTCAGAGAGCTTTCCAGCAGAGCTACATCGTGGTTAGCAAGACCTGTCATCAGATGGTGTGCCTAAAACACCAACTCAAAGGACCTTAACATGAATACATTGGCAATATTTCATGCTGAGAAGCTGATTAATATAATTCTGATCCTTTTTCCATACTTCCCATCTCTTTGCTACCTCAAGTCACTCTTGAGTTAGATACATATGATCCCTTATACATGGACTCCACCCTCCTTCCCTGCTCTTCTTCACACCTAACCTCTCTTTCCAACCCAGCCCTCAGAGCACAATTCATGTGGACGAGGAAACACAGACAGATGGTCAGCACACAAACAGCACAGCCCTTAAAGGCCATATCAATGCCATAGCCATGTGCCTCGGGACTCAGGATTCGAGGCAATTTTACGACATGGAAATTGTTTTATTTTCTGGGACATTGGGACCAAGAATTATTATTGTTCTAATTTCTAAACTTTTATGATCTCTCATTTATATTCAGTTTTAGATTTAAATGTAATCATAGATACTCAGAATCTAGCTTATTCAACTATAAAGCCATGAAGAAAGTACAATACCCCACTCTATTATTTAGATCACAAACATACTTCATATAAAACAGGCGTGATGAGGAGTCCAGGCCCCCATAAGAACTGCTCATGCACCTTCCATGTCATTGTATCCTGGTAGAACCTTGAAAACAGAGAGCAGGATTAGGAATGTAGAATTTCTAATACAGGACAACACCACACTGTGTGTCCTAGCTGACCTCGTTACCACTAACAGGGTAAAGTGAAATTGCATTCTGAAGGTGATCAGGAAACTCACTCATGTACCAAGGGCCTTGCTACCGTCTCCCCCAGGGTGTGAGCACGATAAAAGAGGGTGTAGAGATAGGGCAACAGTGTGTAACGGATATTCAGATAATGCCTGGAGGAGCTCAACAGCAGAGAGTCAAAACCAAAGGCAGCTGGGTCCTGGTCCTAGAAGTAAATGGAAACAATTATTATTTCTTGTTTATCATAGTTTAAAAGTTCTCTCATGATAAGAAACTTTCCCAAAGGAAATAGCCATGTTCTCTAACCTCAAGAACATCAAAAGCATTTCCACAACTGAAAGGATCTTGGTCCTATTTCTTCATTTTACAGCTCAGAAGCCAAATAAAAGTTTGCATGACTTTCCCCATGTAGAATCACAGGTAGGTGGCAGAGTTTTCACTTGACACGTGTACCGAGGACAGACTACATCAGCCCCAGGATGATAAATGAGCCCCACAGGGGCTGGCATGTACATAAAGGGGCCTTAGTGGGCTCTGCACCTTCCAGAGCCATCCCAATTTATTTAATATGGATTTTCATAATATTTCACTTGGAAGATACTAATAAGTTCTATTAAACTTAGCTTCCCTGCTAAAAAATGTTTCAAATCCATTTTCATAAACCACATTGCCTATTACCATGATCTGTAATTCATCTTTTCCTTTCTATGCACTTTAGTGAACTTGAAATTTAAAAAATTTGTTGTGATGAAACTAGACATTTTCTTCTGTAATATTTTCAGTATCACAATTTTCTCTATCCCAAAGATAATAACCTCCATTTGTTCTACAAAATAAAATATGTAAAGAAATCCTAACAACAGGGTTTATCAAATTTTACCTAAATCCTTTAGAACACAAAGATAATTTTCTTACAACCAGGAGCCAGAAATTTTCCATCCTTGGTGGACGTTCAGTTTGCTAATTTTCTTTGTTATTTGGAAGACATGAAAGATACCTATGCCATAGTTAGACTGTATTATTGGTACTCAATTTTGGAGAAAATTGTCTGAATTTATTCCTTTATTTTGCTCCCTAAAATACCCATCTTCTCACTAAATAGATTATTCTATGTCCCCAATCCAGGGCGCATGAAATTTCTGAGGTGAAAAAAAAGAAAACAATGTTTTCCCAGCATCTGTCACTCTAGTTCTTCACTGAAAAAGTCTAGAGCTGCCCTGTCCACTGTGGTGGTCACAGTCTATGTAGTTATTACTGGACACTTGAAAAGTGTTAGTAAGACTGAGGGAGTAATCTTTTAACTTGGCTTGTGATTCGTTTATATATCTTATGATTGAATTGATGTAAAATATTATTTCCATCAAATGTCATTATTTTTATAGCATTACATTTCATTTAAACTCCTGAAAATGCAATATTTAGAGATGTGCTAAAATTTTAAAATTCATACTGAATTTTGAAGACCTGATAGAAAGAAATATAAAATAGCTCATTAATAATAGCCCATGTTGGGCCAGGGATTTAGCCCAGTGGTTTTGCCGCCTGCTGTGCAAGCGCAAGAACCCAAGTTCGATCCCCGGTACCAAAAAAATTTAAAAAAATAATAATAATAGCCCATGTTAAATACAGGGTAAAATGATAATATTATGGATAAGCTGAGCTACATAAACTATATTTTAAATGTCCTGTATTTCATTTTACTTTCTAAATTTAAATTTGAACTGACTTATGGGTCTCTTGTTATAATTCTTTCAGAAAGAGCTAGTTTAAAAGAAAGAAAACTAGCACTTTTTAACCTAGCTACCTGTATGAGCTGAATATTTTGTCCTTGCAAGTCTTCAAGCCATCCCTCTATGAAAAGCACCTTCTTACCTGCTCCCAGTAACCTGCTCAGTCATTCAGGAATAGTTATCTCTCTTTCTCCCCAAACCATAAGTGGGTGGGAAAGCCCAAAGATAAAATGCTTTGAAGGTTTTACTGTTAATCCTTCCAGGTTTGAGAATTGTCATTGTCAAAGCCAAGAGCTAGATCTAAAATTATCATCTGGAAGTTACTCTGATGAGCCTACTAAAAGTTAAGTCATTCAATCTGAAATATTTCAGTGGCAAATTATTTCATTTAAAGAAAGGAAACTCACCTTACTTGCTACTGCCATTACAATAAATACCTCCTTAAGAGGAACTTTGCACCCACTTCTATATACTTGCTTTTGAAAACTTTTATTTGGGATGGAAGAGGATAAAGATGGGGTGGATCATGGGAAGTAGTGTGTGTGTTAGGGGTATCTCCCAATGTATTCATAAAGAGTGCTCTGTCACAACAAAGTGAAAATTGTTCAGATCACTGCCCTGTCTCTTCATAAATTCTTCCCCACTGCTCAATATTTATGGTAGTCTCCTTTTCATTAACTGAAGTATAATACAAATCTTCTAAAAGATGATAATGGGAGTGACAGAAGCATCATAGAAAGTTTAACAAATCTTGATACTTGCTTTTTTAGGCTTATCACCCAATATGTATTTATCCTTCTTCTGCAGTTAGGGCAAATCTATAGGATTTTCCTCAACTCCTCTTTCCAAACAAGTAGATTATACAATCCAAAAAGTTTTCATCACTTCTCTTGGGGAACTTACACGGAAACCAGGCCCATTGTGATTCCTTGATAGTGGATAAAATGCTCCTAGCTGCATCCACCTTCTGCAGAGCTCCTCTGTGACATTTCTTGTGTAACCACAGATGTTAGCACCTATCTGGAGAATTAGCACACATTGAGCACAGTAGTCACTAAGAGAACTGAAAGCATTGCCTGTGTTCTTGTACGATAAAAGAGAATCTCTATTGCCATCACTCACTGCTTACAGAGATCCCAGAATCCCAGAATAAGCCTCCCATCACATAAGAAGAAAAGAAGTATACATCCTAGAATAGACTTAGAAGGAGAAGATTGACTGGTGGTGTAGACAATGGTTATTGATAATGGTTGTAGACAAATAAATATAGAGGGCTGTTCCTCACTGTTCAGTTCCCCATTTCATACTCCCCTATTCAGTGATGCTCCCTGGATAGGACTTTTCTGTTGATACTAATATATTTTATTCATAGTGTCTCTTTTCTCCAGAGAGTCCATGGATGAAACTGAGAAAACCGGCCATCCATATGCAGAAGATTGAATCTAGACCCATATATCTCACCGTGTACTAAACTAAAATCAAAATGCATCAAAGATACAAATGTTAAAAGAGAAACAATCTGCTGGAAGAGAAAATATGTAAAACTCTTGAAGACATGGGCATAGGCAAGGACTTCTTAAATAAAATCAGTTGCACAAGAAATAACATCAAGAATCAACCAATGGGATCATATCAAATCAAAAAGCTTCTGCACAGCAAAGAAGACAATCAACAAAGTGAAAATACAACCTACAGAATGGGAAAAAGTTTTGCCGGATAGTCATTGGTCAGAAGACTAACATCTAGAATATAGTATAGAGAGATATAGCTATAGATATATAGCTATATATCTCAAAAAATCAGATCCTCTAATTTCAAAAGGCATCTCAATCAGAGAAATTGATTTTTCTAATACTTATCACAAAGGGACATATACTCTTTAGTTTTCAAACACCCTTAAAAACTGGTAATGGAAAGAGCATCAAAAAACAAAAGGTGAAGTTCCTTGGTTGGGAATGAGGCTCACCATGGGAATACCAAACAAGTTGAACTCAAGAATACTGGGTATTGACCACCGAAGGTCATCCCATGTGGCTGCATTGTCTCCCAGCCAATGAGCAGCAAATTTGCCAGATCCAGCGAAAGTTGAGCGAGATAAGATGAAGTTCCTGGTACTGGGAAAGATGGTATCCATGGCCCTGAAAAGAAATATAGCCAATTGAGTATGACCTGAGTGTGAACCTCTAGAATTTGATTTATACCAAGGGCAGTAATGGGCTTTCCAACCAAACTGAAAAAACTTTCATGGTGTCAAAAGCCAGGTGTACAAACTACTTAGCATTTTTAATAGTTTCTTTCCCACATCTGGGTAAGGATTCACATTTCATATAAGACAATATAGACCTCTATATTCCAGACTGCTCAAAATTTTTTCTAGGCTGCTAAACTCTTGATTCTGTTTTCTCCATCTTGTTAGATTGGGTTGTTGCCTTCCCCTTTTCATGGACAATAGATTGATTCCACACATTGGATTTTTGCCTCATTTTCTACCACAAAACAAGGTCTTTTCTAACTTCCCTTGGTTCTATGCTGCTTATGCATAATCCTTACTAGCACAACACCAGGTCATGGTGAAACTGTGTTCTCACTTTCACTTGATATAGAGGCTAGCAGTCAGGCCACCCTTATTATCATTGGCTGGAGATTTATTGCCCTCTGCAATCATCAGTCATGGAACAAACACAGCCCAATCTGTAGAGAATGAAACTGAAACACGGATGAAGATATCTGAAGGTACACTTTAGAAGAGGCCATTATGCCAATATAGATTAGATAACATTCAGGTTTTCCCAGCTTTGAGTTGCTTAAGTTTCTCTTTTCCATTTCCCAGGACTGGTTCATGTCACAATCCCTGAGAGGATCTGTTCTCCTTCTGCTTTTAGCCCTCCTGGTCTGCCCAGTGACCTCTGTCCCCCAACTATGTTTTTCTAGTTAAAGTTTAGCAAAGTCTTCCTCAGCCCTATGACTTTAACTCGCACAGTGTCCAGAATATAGAATGAAAATCTTGTCTCCTTTTAAATCCAACCCTGTTTCATGCCCAAAGATCAAGAAGAAATTCTACTTATTCAGTCACAGTTACATTTTAACTATTAATCACAACTATTAGAATATTTAAATCAATCTATACATGATTGTATAGCACTTTTAATACATGGAAACACTGGCAACAAAGTGATTTAAAACTCTTTCTCTCCTCCAATCTTTCTGGACTCTTTCTGAACATTTATTCACTCTTCCTCACACTTCTTATCCTTAGTATCCTTAGTAGTATCTAAGAGTTGATATATATCAGAACAGGAAGGGACTACTGGAAACATCAAGTCATCCAAACTTATTTCAGAGATGAGAAAACTTACTCTGATTTGTTCAGTTGAGGTGGAGAGCAGAGAGAGAGAGAGAGAGATTAGAAAAAGAGATTTAAAAAGCAAAGATGGTTATCATTCTTCTTGGGGCTTTGCTTTTGCTGAAGTACAAACTTGTGCATGTACTTTGCAAAGACTCTTTTCTCACAACGTCCTGAAGGCAAAATCATGCTGGCAAACAAAACAGACACAGTCTCTGCCTCTAACTCTATAAGTTCCCTGTGTGCCCAGCTTGCTCCTTTTTTCTCAGGCCAGGCATTTATTTCAATATGTCTTCAGTATGCACACTGCTCATAAGGCTAAGGATACAGGGATGCCTTTGCCCTTAAGGAACTTACAATCTAACAAGAAAAAAATATGACCAACTAAAAATTATGATGTATTGTTTTTGCATATTAATCATATTATAATATGAAAAATAGCACAAACAAGGAGAATATTTTCCTGGGACTGTCAAGAAGGTTTCCAGACTGATAAGCTAGACATGTACATCTTTGCAAAAATGAACAGGACAGGGAAGACTGTCTTGTATAGGGCAAACAGCACATGAAAAAAAAAGAATAGCATTTGAACTTGGAAGCAACAAGAAGTTGCATATTAGCAGAGCATAAAGCACAAGGAGTAGCAAAGATGTGAGAAATTTAGGAGATGAATTATCTCACAGCTTGTGCTATGGTGATTAAAGTTTATTATAGAGAAAATAGTCAGCTATAAAAATTTTACTCCGGGGAAAGAAATGAGAATATTTGTGCCTCAGATCACTTTTACCGCTGAGTAAAATAGTGTGTCTTAAAGTTTGTCATGCATTCAATGCACTCAGAGATCTTGTTAAAGTTCAGACTGTGATTTCCAAGGTCTAGGTTGGGATCTGGGATGCTGAATTTTTAAAACCTTTCCTGGTGACACTGAACTGTGGTCCTAGGGCCATACTCCTAGTAGAAAGGATAGAGGATAAATTGATTGGAAATTAAAGCCAAGGGAGACTAATCATGGGCCAAGTGTCACAATTTATGTGGGAGCCAATAATAACCTTAATTAAGAAATGGCCTTAATTAGAGATGGCTATAGTAATGTTTCAAAAGTAGAGGGCTGATTTTATGTAGGAACATGATATAGAGAAAGGGTGATCCAAAGTTTCTCACATAGGCATCTGGGAGATAGGAAGTGTTGCTACCAAACAAGATAGGGAATTTAAGAGTTTCAAAAATGATAAACCAGAGTGGAGAAGTTAGCTATAAAAAGGCAACAGAGCCAAGAAGGCTCTGCCATAAGGCAGCCAAACAAAGAAGGCAGTTTTGTATATTTGTGTCTGGAAATCAATGAATTATGGATTTTGATATCATTCAAATAAATTACAATAAAAATCATGTAAAGGAATAAATTACTTATGTGTTGACATGGAATGGAAGGAGAAGAAGCCTAAGGATTGACCCCCAAATTTCCTCAGTGAAAGAACAGATAAGAATGATCCAGATACAGAGGGATATAGAGATGAGAAGGAATGGGATGAAAGAGAGCAAGATGCCAGGAAGAGTTGGATCTCAAAGAGTCCAGGAGCCAAGGTTCAAAGGAGTAATCATAACTATGTACCGCAGAGATAGAAAATTCAAGTACGATGAAGACTAAGACACTCCCTGTGAGTAGACCACAGTCCCCTGCCCCTCCACGGAGTTCTAGAATCACTAAACAAGCAGAGAAGATTTAAGATTTCAGTTCTTTCCTAAAGCATTGGAAGATAACAAATAGCCTTTCAAGCATTTTAGTTTCCTCTTCTTTGTTGGAAAACTAAAATTAAAACCATCTTAATCTGAAATCCAAATCTCTTGCTTCATAGATATAAAGATAATATTTTACATTTTCTAAGAAAGGAACTGAGTGAGAGGAGGGACTATTTCTCACTTTATAAAATCATCACTAATAAATCCATGTGACAAGGTTTGGAAAGGATAGAATAATTAGCAGTACACATCAGTCTACTTGTTAGACTTTTATAATGGATGATGGTGACTTATTATTTATTGCTAAAGTAAAGCAACCCTAGTGTGGTGACCATAGTACATTCAGTAATCAAACCTGGCAAGGGCTAACTTCCAGTTTGGGTCTAAATGCCTCACACAGTACTGTCTGTGAGTATCCTTGAAATAAAAATGCTCTTTAACCATAACCCAATTAAAATTAATTTATATACAGAAACCAAAGTTTTAGATCAGTTTCTATATTCTGATAACTGCAAATAATATTTGAATAATATACTTATGAAAGAGAAGAAAATCCCTCCACCTTCCACCTCCTGCCTTCCAAATCTGGAATGAGGAGAGGGCCAAGTCCTTACACATCTGTAGCTCTTGCCATGGAATAGCCATACAAGCTGTGGACATCATAGTGAAAGCCCCGATGAAACTCTGTGTCCATGCAGAGGGTTCTTGCAGACAGTAAGCCATCCAGAATGTCTAAGAGGAAACATCACCAGTGAGGCACTTTTCCATCCACCAACTTTAGCAAAATCAGCACCCAATGCTTTTCTTCTTCGTTACTGTATATTCCCACCCAATCTCCATTCCACAAAATCTTTTCTAGATTTTGAATTCTATCCTGTATACCACTTGCTACCTGGGGCCTACTCTGAACTCCTCCATGCATTTTTAAAGTTAATTTAGATTCCCTTGAACTCATGGTGGTGACTGAAAGCAAGTGAAAAACCTGTTGAGCCATGGGTCTGAGATTAAATATAAAGCATATATTATTTATCTGTATGTATTTAATCAAGAATTGAGTGTACAATTACAGATATGAGGGCAGTGAAAGAGAACAGTTTCAATTTTATATTATAGATCCCACTCACATTTTTTTTTTTTTTTGGTACCAGGGATCAAACTCAGGACCTTGTGCTTGCGAGGCAGGCAGCAACATCACTGAGCTAAATCCCGGCCCGACACACTTTTAAAATAACAACAAAAAAATGAGATGGGACTCTTGGGTGTTTTCATGAATAAGAACTCAAATCCTGGCTCTGAGAATCCCCAGGGTTACTATATTTTCCCTTATTTAATCCCAGAATGTCAACCTTTTCTGCCTGATGAGCTACAGTCTCTTTTCTTCCCCTTCTCTCTGTGGATCCACATCTGGGCCATATCTGCCTTCCTTCATAAAAACTTTGACCATGTACAGGACCTTATATTTGACCATATATATGAAAGAGGAATTTCAGAAAGTGATAGAACAAGGAAAGACTAAGACTCAGTTTATCCCAGAAGCATAACAGAACAGAGATTTAGAGTCAGAAATTAAATTGAATTGTAAAATATAAAGAAAAATGCATTTCTTGCATAGATTAGCTTGTAACATGAGAGCCATAACCACTTCAGTTGTAAGAAGGGCACTAATACTTTCCCAGAGTCAAAGGTAATGATATCTCTCTTTATCATGCTGCTAATGTGTCTTACGCAACCCTGAAAGTGTGAGAAGCTGATTGGCTCAGAGGGAAAGTAGCTGGTCACATATGAGTAGACAAAAGGCAGAGAGATAAGGAGTGAAGTCCTTGCCAGAGCAAGCAGATGGTGATAAATTGAGGTTTTCTGTAGGAAAACACAGTGCACAGTTTTGGCAAAGAAGAAGGTTAAGAGATTAAGTAAAAAATATGATAAACTCATCCAGAATGAAAGAAGGGATGGGGGAGATACAGAGTGAGTAGACAACAACAAAGAATAAACTAGGAAAGCAAAGAGCAGGTCATACAGGAGGTAAAATAATTTGAAGTCAAAACATCCTTTATTTCTTCAGTGTCCAGTGCTGGCCAAAGAAGCAGCTAGTCCTTGGTCATAGTTGTATATATAGGGTGGATGAAGCAAGTAAACTGGTATAGACCACCCAACCACTGCCCATCCAACCAGTGTTCTCCCCAGGAGTATAAACAGAATGTGCTTGAAGATTATACCCCCTTAAAGTTAACTGAGTTTATATGACCAGATCCTAGCAAAGGAATGTGGGCAAACTGGGTAGAAACTACATCCAGGCCCGCACAAAAAATTCCCATCATCCATGAAGCTGGAGACAAAGGCCTCTGAGAGGGGAAAGCAAGACTGTTATGATTTGGATAAAAATGTCCTCATGTGTTTAGAGGTGGAGCTTTTAAAAGATGATTAATCCAGTGATGAGTTCATCGCTGAATAGACTGTCAGGAGGTGGAGGACAGTTGGACGAAATAGGTCACTGAAGGCATAGCCCTGTTCCAGGCCTTTTTCTCTTGCTGCTTCCTGGTTGTCATGAAGTAGACAGCTTTGCTTGACCATGCTCTTCCACTATGATTATTCTGCCTCACCTCAGACCCACAGCAATGAAACCAGTTTACCACGGACTGAACCCTCAGAAGCCATGAGCCAAAATGAACTTTTCCACCTCTAAACTGACTTTCCCAGGTATTTTGTCACAGTGATTCAAAGCTGCCTAACACAGAGAAGATGAAGAAACTAGATCTCTGAATCATCACTGAACTCAATCCACTCATCCATCGCTAGTGAGAATTATGTGAGCAAAAGTAAACTATTGTGTTAATCCATTGAGATGCAGGACAAAAGAATTTGGAGTTCTGGAGTGCAAAGAGGTGCAGGTTCAGACTAACACTTTCACCACATGTCATTCATGGATTATGGCAGCAAGAATGTGATCAAAGAGCAAGTAATGCCACAGAGACCCAAGAAGAAGAGTGATCAAAATATCTGGGGGTAGGGACCTTTGGGACAGGGAAGTGACTTGCACTTAACTGCAATGAGTATTGTTGGGACTGTTTTAAATGTTTTGTGTCTGCAACATTAGGAAACAGGTGAACACTTACTGGGAGTAAAAGGAGGAAAGTTCAAGATGTTTGATTCACACTGTTGATCAGAATCTTGGAGAAAACTAGAGACTTCATCCATTTCCTTCAAAGACACAAAATACAAAAACGGAAAATGTTATTAGTTTAGAATAAGCTGTTAGGAGATGCCTACCAAACTAGAAGCCAGGATATCTGGGGTCTCCTCTTAAGTGTTCTGAATTGTGAATAATGTCCCCAACCCTTACTGGCCTCTGTTTCACCTTTTATAAAATTAACTCATTGAGTTAGGTTATTTCTAGGATATGTTCATTTCTGAATGACATTGATTATAAATTAATTTCAATCTATTAATTAAGAAAAATTATTTCAAATCCTGGCTCTTGAAGATTTTGTTGTTGATTTTACAATTTCACATGTTGAAAAAAACCAAAGACAGGGTAATATTTCTGTTTTATCTTTTTCCATCTTCTATTTCACTGAATGAGGGACAGTAAGATAATATATAATTGAGATCAAATCCATTTCTTTAAGATGAATTAAAAATAAATGATCTCTATTCTTTTCAAACAAACAAAAATGTTTTCAAATTTCCAAAAAAAATCCCCACTATTCACCAATAAGAAATACAAGGGCCTCCTTGAATTATTTTTAGCAATTAAATATTTTGAGCTGATAATACAAATAATAGTACAGTAATAATAACTTTTAATAAAACCGTATTTTTGTGCTGACAGTTAATGGAGGAAAAAGTCAAACTCTTACAAAAACAAAAAAGGATTTTCTGAACAGAACTCAAATTGCACAAGAAATAACAGTGAAGGAAACAACAATATAGTGAAGACACAACCTCCAGAATGGGGAAAAAATTTGCTACCTATTCTTTGGAGAGAAGACTAGTGTCTAGACTATATAAAGAATTCAAAAAAATTAGATTCCCCCAAAATAAAATACTCAATCAAACAATGGGCAGCAGAAATGACTAGACATTTCTCAGGAGAAATACAAATGGCCAATAAATACACAAAAAATTTTTCAAATTTTCTGGCTATTAGAGAAATGCAAATTAAAACAGCATTGAGTTTTCATATTATTCCAGAAAGAATGGCACTCTTCAAGAAATCAGATAATTCAAATACTTGCAAGGCTATAGGGATAAAGGAACCCTCTTACATTGCTGGTGGGAATACAACCATTATGGAAATCAGTATGGAGATTTCTCAAAAAACTAAAAAAATAAATTCCACTTGACCCAGCTACTCCTTCCTTCTTAGCAAGAGTCATCATACTACAGTAATATATGCATCCCCATAGTTAAAGCAGCCCAAATTTATAATAAATCTTGAAAGCAATCTATATGTCCATCAACAGAAAAATGGATAAAGAAAATGTGTTATCTATATACAATGGAACACTACTTGGCTATTAAGAAGGATAAAATTGAAACACTCATAGGAAAATGCATGCATCATGAAAACATAATGCTAAATGAGATAAATCAGACACACAAACTTAAATACCACATGGTTTCTCTCAGAGGAGGAACCCAAAGTTCAAATAAAGAGCACATGAAAGATTGACAAAAGAAAACAGAGAAAGAGATCTTTTGCAAATGAAAAGGGAACCAAAAAACTGAGAGGATGGCACAAAAAGATTTAAAATCTGTCATGTACATGTACCAATTATGCACAATGAATATAATCATTATATGTTGCAAGCATGAATGAATGAATGAATGAATGAATTGGGGGAGGGGATCTAGAGATGGAAGGAGGGACAAGAATGGGGAATAAAAAGAATTAAGATATGTTGAGTGCTTGTACTTACTCCCTAAAATGAGTGGAAACATCATGTACTACAAACACGTGCTAATAAAAAATTTAAGTGACCAGTTGGTGGCAAATTCAGAATGAACATCTAGGATTTTTAGAAGCTTAGTTTACTGTATATAAATTCAGCATTAAGCAAGAGAATTTTGAATATCACCACCTCAAGCAAACTTTTATTACAAATCACGGTCAAAATTCATCTGAAAAATTGGCATTTATGCTTCCATAAATTAGCATTTATGCTAGTATAATAACTTACAATCCACACTCCATCAAACTTCAGGTGGTTATGAAAGTCAGTGAATTGCTCTGTCCACCACTGAGTACACACTGGATTGCTGAAATCAGGAAAGACTACCTTCCCCGGATATCCCTAGGAAATAAAAAATGCCATGGCAATTTGTTCGATAGTTCAGTTATTCAGGTACAGTGCTCTAGGCTCCTATTTTTTTTTATTAAATTCTTTTATTGGTACATTGTAGGTATACAACATAATTACATTTCTCATTGGGAATTGTACCTTTA